CAGTGAGAAAGTGTCTACTATTAAGACTTCCCAATGACCATTACTATGTGGTGTCAATAAATTATTTTAATCAGGTGTCCAGGAGCAATGGCTCATGCCTGTTATCCCAGCACTTTGGGAGGCTGAAGCAGGAAGATATCTTGAGCCCTGGTGTTCAAAATGAACCTGAGCAACATAGCAAGACTCTATGTCTATAAAAAAATGATAAAAAATAAACATAAAACAATTAGCTGGGCAAAGTGGTGTGCTCTTGTAATCCCAGCTATTTGGGAGGCTAAGGCAGGAGGATGGCTTGAGTCCAGGAGGTTGGTGCTGCAGTCGGCTGTGACTACGACACTACACTGCAGCCTGGGGAGTAGAGTGAGACCCCCTGTCTCAAAAGAAAAAAAAAAAGGTGTCTTTAAAAGTTCAATAATTATCCCCATGTAAATTGTCTGTAGAAAAATAATAGTCTCAGCCCATATTTGCTACTATTTAAATTTGGTACACCAAAGATCAGAAGGTTGCCACGTTGGTCCAGACACCTGAGTGGTAAGTAAACAAATCAGGAGAGGAATAAGCGAGAGAACTACGCAGGTCTTAACAGGAAAATGCATATGGATCAGTAGAAGTAAATTCATGCTATTTTCACCACGTAGTTCAAATGTTAACCAAAATTAACATTCCTGTCTAATATTATATGTAAAAATTCATTTGTCACAAAGCTGGAAAATAAATAGGTTAGCAATTTTGAACACTAGGGTTTATTTTATAAAAGACAGCTTTTGAAACTTTAAATCTTTATTACCTAAAATTCTGTATTGTTTGATAAATTTCAAAATGGGCGATTATTTTTAAAATAAAAAAATTAAGAGAAAAATTAGACTAGCAAAACCCCAGGGCTCTTCAAATAGGATAATGAAAGGAAATAGAAGGTTCAAGTCTGCATTTGCCTCTAGTCTCGTGAATCCTGAGACACATATCCATTTGCCTTTTGTAGTTCAGAATTTCTTGACTCCCAAGTTACTGATTTCCTAATAACATAAAATATGGAATGATCTAACCTACCCAGAATGAAAAAATTATCACAGATCATGTCCTCATGATAAGGGGAGCTATATAGGAAGCACTCAAGGAGGAATCAGCCTGCTGCCAAAAATAATCATTGATGCCTGGGGAGAGATGGACTAGCAGGGAACAGATTTACTGGCTGGACCTAATAATCACATTAGAGGGGAAATTCTCAACTCTTAACTCAGGTTCATAGACTTTCTCATTACACAGTGCTGTACAAACACCAATACTAAAAATTTTATTAAATTTTTAAATATGCATTACATTCACCTATAAAATATTATTAAAGGTTGTTTTCTAATGAATATATTTGTATTCATATAAAATGTTAGAACTTTTTTCAGCTTTTATTTTAACATCACAGCATAAAACATCTTCGTTCAGTGAGATCCAGTAGTAGCATATAATAATCCAATAAAATATCCACTTTACAGATGTGGTACTGACTTTGGAGAGCTGATTTTTCTAACGGGGGAATAAACATCTCCTGAGGCTTTTTTTTTTTTTTTTTAAAGGATGTCAACTTAGTACCATTCACATTTGCATGATAAGTGAAGTTATAAGGAGCAGTGATTTAAATACAGCAGTTGAAAGTAAAAGCCATATCACAATGCATGGAAAACCATAGCCACATAGACAGGAAGACACACCAGTGAAGTCTCAGGGAAGAGAAAACTATACGTAGATGCAAACTAAATGAATTGCCTGCTATCCTCTGGTTTAGGAGGAATCACAAGCAAACTAGGAGAACACAAAGCAAATAGGTATACCTACTTGACTCCCTGAAGGGCCACTACTTTTATCATTATATTGTGGGAAAAATAAGAAGGAATATTTATCTTAAATGGTGTGCCACAGATAATGAACAACATATACAAAGCTGTGTTGGTGCTGGGAATCCTTGCTCCAGGTATGAACATAAAGTCCACAGTGAACTCTGACACATAGATTACCTGGTAGCTCCATTTCATCCATAAATCTGTTATCAAAAATATCACTGAAATATGAGATTAAAGCAGCTTAGCTGATTTCCCACCCCTGTGTTTGTGGGAATGCTCCTCACAACTATATAAAACAGAATGTTCTCTTAGATATGTGAACTTCCCCTTTACAATGCTATGATAAGCGAAATGTTTAACTACCAAAAACTTTATGAAAAATGAAAGTGCAGTGTGACACACTCTAGATAGGAGGAATGGCATTATCTCATTGATTTAAGTTCCTCCGTCCTTTTACTCGTCATGACTGCAACTGCTTCCCATGGTCACATTCTGTAAAGATAGAAATATATTTCATAGCCTATCAAATAATTTCATAAAAATAGATTACCATGTGAAGCCTACGTTAGAAGGAAGATTGTGCTTAACTGAGGACCCTAGATGCCACTAAAAAAAAAAAATCTTCAGCAATCTTTAGGAGATTAGAGACTTTTCGGACTCTAAAAAGCAGAAAGAAAACAAAACAAAACTTGAAGCTACCAACTTGGACTGCAGCTTTTGCCTCTGTTAGAATCGGTTAAGATTCTGTCAAGTCATTAAAGAATAATGACAGATGCCCTGTCTGGGTAGATTAGATCACCTAATCTCTCTGATGGTGGAGATTGAAAGATATGTGAATTAGTATTACATACTAATGTAGAGTGCAGAGAAAAAGTGAGAAACTTCTTGAGTTTCCTCTTTTTTGTGGGGGATGGGATACATTTAGAGGAACAGATATTAACTAGTGGTGTGGGTTGGCTGGAGTGGTAGAAGAGAGAGAAAACAGAGTTCTCTGTATTTTGTGATTAGCAAAAGAGGAAGAATTTTGTTCATTTGTTTGTTTTGCTTTGAGGTCTAGGATTGCTAATATTTCTAATTAGACCATTGAGAAGCTTGTTCCTACAATTTTTTAAACTAAAACTTCTTACAGAAGATTCTCAAGGGGAACATGGATTATTGAGTGGATGCCATAATAAACAAACATACAAAACCCTCACTTGTATAATTATTATAATTTTTCTGTGGTTAAGAATAGCATGCTTATGTTGAGGAAAGCACTAAGAGTTGAGTCAGATGTTATTAGCCATGTGAAACCAGGTGAAACTGGGATTTTTATATACACAATGTTTTTAATGTAATACTTGAAAGTCTGTGGAGCTTTAGCCTTTACAAACTTTAGAAGGTAGTGACAACTTTAAAGACATGAGACCAAGGCTGGGCACAGTGGCTTATGCCTATAATCTCAGCACTTTGGGAGGCCAAGGTGGGCAGATCACCTGAGGTCAGGAATTCAAGACCAGTCTGACCAACATGGTGAAACCCCATCTCTACTAAAAATACAAAAATAAGTCGGGTGTGGTGGTGGGCACCTGTCGTGCCAGTAACTGGGGAGGCTGAGGCAGGAGAATCGCTTGAACCTAGGAGGCAGAGGTTGTAATGAGCCAAGATCATACCACTGTATTCTAGCCAGGGCAACAGAGTGAGACACTGCCTCAAAAAAAAAAAAAAAAAAAAAAAAAAAGACACGAGATCAAGAATATCGTAAGAATATTTGGTAATTTATTTCCAAATCAACAATTATATACATATATTTTTTATATTCACTATGTGCAAAATGCAGTTCTAGATATTTGAACAGAAAGGAGGAAAAATAATGATGAGTTGGATAAGATCCCTATTTGCAAGGCTTTTATAATCTAATTGGAAAATAAACCATAAGGACCCGAAAAGTCAAATTAAAACACAAAAGTCATAAAGTCAAAACAGTACAAAGGACAATGTGATATATTTCATGATGAATCATCAAAGTAGTATCAAGACCAAAGGCTATTACAGCTAACTGTGCCATCAGAATTATATGGAGAAGTTTTAAAAAAATAATTCTTAGGCTCTACCCCAGACCTCTTGAATTAATTTCTGGGTAGGGCATGGGAAAACAGGGGGTATTCAGAGATGAGGGAGGATTTGGAGGAGGCATGATCTGGCATTTTGTATTATATAAAGCTTCCCAGGTGATCCTGATGAAAACAGTTTGGCACAATTTATTAGATCAGTATTTGAGAATCACTGCTATGGGCCAGGACAGTACCACCAGGCAAATATACTTCCGCCAGTAAAGGTGACAACTGGACTTTGGGTTAAGACAGATTTTCAGCAGAAGCTCTTCTTTTCCTATCTCCACTGATGCCTAGCACACTTAGATAGAGAAATACTAGCCTAGATCATGAAAGTGAGTGTCCACAGTGGAGCTGAAAAATTTCAAGGAGGGAAAGCTTCTGCTGGGTTATAATGGAAAAATCTTGCTGCCTAAACTTAGGAGAGAAAAGCTTGCCAGGGAAGGGGAACAGCATGTATTCAGGAAAGTAAAACTGGGCCTGAGGCATGATGTTTTGAAAAGTTGTTTAGAAGAGAGGGTTCATGCAAGGGAAGTCTCAGATTTAGAGAGTATCGGATTCACTACTTAGGTTTTTCTCTGTTTTTATTACAGAAAAATGTGAATACCAAGTCTGGGACCCTACAAATCTCAATTCAGTAAACTGTATGCTACTTTTGCTTACTCAAGTTACACTCAAAAAGATTATGTCATTAATTTCCTTATAATCTGCACATCTAGGATAAACTCTTGGCTTAAATTTTTGTGGGGTTTTTTTTCATATTTCTTTTTTTTATTGTTTTGGGGGAAAGGTTGGCAAATGATCATTTTCTTTTTTTTTTTTTTTCACTTTCTTTTTTTTCATATTTCTTTTTTTAAATAGGTTTCTGGGTTGTTAGTTTTATTCAACTTATATACTTAATAGAGAGAAGCCAGCACTACAATACTTGATAATGATGGCAAAATATTTGCATACAAGATGTTTTTGCAAAGGATGTAAGAAAGAAAGGATAAATTTCCAAGACAAATATCAGTGCTACTAAGATTTAATGGTTTGTGCTTATGCAACTTGAACCAAGTATGAATATTATTGTTACCTGAGTGAGTGATTCCTGGTAAGATCAGGTTGACGCTCCTGTAGAATTTCAAAGATATTGGGTTGACGTAGAAATGCAACAATCTTGTCATTGTAAGCTGAAAAAAATATAAAAAGATAACAATTTTTGAGAGTCTATTATTAGTTTTATGTATATAAATCCAAACTTTGTGTGTGTGTGTGAGGTGGAGTTTCGCTTTCACCCAGGCTGCAGTGAAGTGGCCCGATCTCAGCTCACTGCAACCTCCATCCCCAGGGTTCAAGTGATTCTCCTGCCTCAGCCTTTCAAATAGTTGTGATTATAGGTGCCTGCCATCATACCCAGTCAATTTTTTTTTATGTATTTTTGGTAGAAACGGGGTTTCGCCACGTTGCGCAGGCTGATCTCTAACTCCTGACCTTCAGTGATCCACCCACCTCCACCTCCCAAAGTGCTAGGAGTACAGGCGTGAGCCACCGTGCCCAGCCTATAAATCCAAACTTTTCAAAATCATCTGTTTTTCAGGCAGGCATGCCTGTCACTCCAGCATTTTGAGAGGCTGATTTGGGAAGATCACTTGAGCTCAGGAGTTTAAGACCAGCCTGGACAACATAGTGAGAACTTGTTTCTACTAAAAAATAAAATAAAATAAAATCTGTTTTCTAATATTATACTCAAAGTTATAGTTTGGAACTGGACTATGCCCACCACTATAGGTACTTACATTTCAATTTGTATCTAACCTTTATATAATTATTGGACTTAGGGCTGTGGCTTAGTTAACCATTCTTAGTAAACTCATTTGATAAGCCATATTTATTATCAAATGGCAAGATGAGTTCATCAATGAGATTCTAGATCTTGATCATTATCAAATAGCCTTAAAGAAATGACAACAGTCCGAAATGAAAAATCGTCTTTTGATTAATTAACAACCAGCTAGGGAGGCAGAGGCAGAACTAAATTTGCCAAAATGTACTAGCTGACAAACAACTAGGGCCAAAATGCAGAGGATAAACTATTCCCAAAATCTATGTGGAAATAAGTGCCATGAAGCCACAAATAGCTCTTTACCAAACCAACTATACCAACAGCTACAACACAACCATCATTATCAACTATGAAAACAAATATGTTTAAAAAAATCTATATCCCAATCAAGGCTGGCTGAAGAAACTTAAAAATAGTTAATTAAAATTTATTAAGGATACCATTATTACCTCTTTTGCCAAGAAAAAGCATTTGTTTACTTAAGATGATTCATCTTGATATTTGTTGATAATTATAAATAAATCATAAATTTATTTAAATTCACAGAACTAAGAGTGTCTAAATTCTTAAACATCAGAGATTCTGGTATAGGATATGATCAAGATACATGCCTTTCTTAAACTAACAAATAAACAAATGAAGAATAATTCTGTAGAGATCTGCCATTTCCAATCTTACCTATATCATATTGCCTATTCACACATATTTTAGTTAAATGTGAATAACAATTTTAAAGTCATACTATCTGCTAAAATGGAATACCATTGTCAACTCAGATTTTCCCTAAATGCACATTTCACTATCTACAAATAATGAAGACATTTTTATAATTGTTGAATTGGGGTTTATAGTGCATCTGAGATCAGAGCCCAGATAACTTTCTAAGCAACAATTGTACAGTGCTTTAAAATTCTATGTGCAGTATTTAGTGTCATATTAGTAATAACATAAAAAAACCTAGACAGTTAGATTTCACCTCTAGATTTCTTATCCAGAGGTCAAACTTCTTAGGTCATGGGTATCATATTGAATTTCATGACAATTTTTTTAAAGAAAAAGTTTTAAAACAAAAACAGACAAATAGAGAGCTGGCCTAATTTTAGACAGAGCATGGAGCCCACATGGCCTCCCACCAATCTGTCCACTCCACCTGCCTTAGGGGCTCCTAAGGCAACCACTGATCTTCAGCCTCATCATTCTAATAACAACTTAAGTAGTTTTTTAGGCCTTTCTGTCACATTCATTAATTTTTATTTTACTATTTTAGAGGTTCTCGCTGCCTTCTATTTGTGACAAAAACCCTTAAGAATGTGCTGTCTTTGATTGCTTATTTTGTGAGGCTACTACAGATTCACACACCATTTAAATTCTGTCTTGGCCTTAAATATATTAAGTATATATATACTTGTCCAAATTCTTAATTTATAATGATTGTATAATACATTACCTTAATAAATTATTTTACCTTAAATTCAATACTCTAACATAATACCTCTACTCAGGCACAGCAGAGTGCTATTAAAAAAAAAAAAATCTCATCCTTTAGGATTTTACAAGACAGAAGCCCTGTGAGACTCAAGTCCGTAGGATTTTGTTATACATTTCTTAAGGATAATGCAGCAATTTCTCAATACAGGGCAAAAAGTATCCGGTTAACAGTAGGGGAAGTATCAGCACAGTGTACATGGTATAGATAATGGCACAAAAGGACAGATAATTTCTGAAAAAGGTTGACATACCCACTGGAACCATGTCCTGGTACTGTGGCCTACTGACTGTATTGAATGTACTGGATGGCCTGGGAAGAACTGGTGGTCCTGCATGTCGAGAATCTTCTCCTACCTGCAAACAGAAGCATCATTTATGTTCTGCACCAAGAGCCAGAATGCTCTATATCTGTATCCCAAACCAAGTTGTTTAAAATGTTAACAATGAGCATGGTGAAGTGCCACCTGATCAGAACAGACATCAGCTGTGGAGCTGAAGCAGAGTTCTTAGTTATCAAAAACCTTGTTTTAGTGGCTAAATAGGGGGAAGGGTTGAGGCATCCACATTCTTGAGAGGGGCTGGGGCAGTAATGCTTTACTAAGTGGCACAGAAGTAGTTCAAACTGCTCTTAATTACTGAGGCTGCAGCATCTAAATAGCAGACTTGTTCATCAGGACTAACATCTGCATTGACAGAGCACAGACAGCAACAATACAATCAAAGGGAAGACTGAGTGTTATAAAATGTTTGGGGCAGTGCCAAGATATTTCTTCTTTTGGCTAAGGCAGGCCAGGGAATTCCCTGGCTCAGCAAAGGAGGGGGTGAAGACCAGCAATCTTCACGTGGGGTTCCGAGTTAGTACATTATCTCCTCAGGAGCAATTTTCCATGCCTATTAGAACACCTGGTGCAACAGATCTTTCTGGTTTGAGCCTCCCACACCAGGGTGCTAATAGGAGCAGGTGCGGAGGAGCTAAATAGGGTTGTCCTAACCTGAGTTATTCATTGCACCTAATATAGATTTAGAAATTCATACATACAAGTAGATAACCAAAAATACCCATTAATAGTCTTACCAGAAAACTCTGATGTTGCTTTCCCATTTCCCCCCAGATTACAGAACTCTTTTAAGACAATAGTAGAACAGCAATATAAGACAGAATGAGAACAAAAGGCAAAATAACATGCTGTACTGGATTTATAAACTGGGATTTTGAAAATAGAGTTTTTATTCCACTTACAACCCTTTGCAGGCATCTTGTCATACTGCATCACTTGGGTATTTGCTGAGGATTTTTCTAAAGACTCTAATGCTGGAAATATCCTCCCCACCCTGCACTGCTTGCTTGTCCTTCAAGAATGTTCTCACTCATTCCTCACAGCGTAGTTCAAACAGCCCCTCCTCAAAAAGGCCTTCCCTCTCCTTCAAGCCCAAGTTAAATGCAACCTTGTCTGAGTTCCCACAGAACTTGGTGTATATTTCTCAAGCAGATGCCATTGTGAACAGTTTATATTATTTGTCAATTATACCTCGATAAAACTGGAAATATATAAATAAGAAAAAAACATGATTATCAAAAATGTTATTAAGGTATACTTTTCCAGCTATTAAAAAAGAAAGTTTATAAAGCATTTTTCACTCATATTTTTATTGATTTTTGGTATGGTTTCATATTTTCCTCTTCTATTAAGAATGCAGGAAGTGTGCTATTTATTTGCATCCCTCATAACAGCAACCATGATGTTTCTTCATCATAGTAGGTGTTTGACAGTGTTAACTTGTTATATGGGAAAGATATCAACATTTCTACTGACTGAGATATTTGCAGAAGGGATATAAGATGGTGGCTGAAATGACCATGTATGTAGCTAGAAGTCTTCTCATCCTGCTTCTTTTGAGTTATTGGTTTTAGGAATGAACACAGCTACTCTCTGGGGAGATCTGATCACTAAGTACAGATTGTTAGTCAGATAACATATTTCAACACTCCAATATATACTTTCTCTCCTCACAGTATGTTGCCACGTGTCATCATTTCTCAGAAAAGTCAAAGGTCATTTCCCTGAGACCTCAGTCCTGGCAACCAGACCAGCAGACAGTGGGCAATCCCTCTGATGGGCAGGTCTTCAGGACATGCATGCTTCCAACAGCTGTGTCAGAAAGGACACTCCCCCGGAAAGTTTAACAACGCTGAGGGCTGGACGCTCAGTCTGTATGGAGTTATCTCCAGGCCACTGCTCAGTTTCCAGCCATAGGAGGAAAAGTCTTAACGTATCCCTTAGGGTCCCTCTCTCATAAAGGCTACTACTAGACCATGAAAATAATTCATGTTCTAAGGTAGAGGGGTTGAAAGAAAACACAAGTATAGCTATTAATCTATGCATGTTTTCCCAGGAAAACAGTGAAACAGCTTCACACTGTGAAGTCATGATAAGGTAAGTGGTTAAAGTGCACTGGCTATGCAATAAAATATCAGACAGAGCCCTTATTGTGCTACACATCGCACACAAAGTCCAAAGGTGAAAGGTCTGTTCTGCTTTCAAGATGAATGTTGTTAGCGTCATTCAGTTTACCACTAATGGTTTACATGACAGCAAGGTAAAGATTTATTAGCTATTCATAAAACATAAATATTTTGTGCATGCCTCATCCTGTAATATATATATATATATTTATATATATTATATATCATTTTATATGAGCTTATATATTTATATATCATTTTATATGAGCTTCTCATGTATACTCTTCTATATCTGAACTTACAACCAGCAAACACATGATGCATTAGAGCAAGTATGCAAATCAGGAGGGAAATTCCAAGAGTAGAATTTTGATGAGTCAAATCCAGTTATTTATTGTATTCATATTTTTTCTCATACAAAATATAAGGCTACAAAGATATTTGATGTACAATATAATATTGAAAATACATGAACATAGACATAGAAAAGTAATGTAAAAATATTAATTCTATTTGTCTAAGGAAATTTTCAAAACAGTGTACATCAAGCGATGGTATATACTAAAATCATAAGCCCATATGAAGGAGAAGAAAACTTGCCTTAAGACATTTCTTTTATATATTTAAGCTGCAAAAGGAAGAAGTGAAATTTTTTTTTTTTTTTTTTTTTTTTTTTTGGTTAGCATATTAGAGGGCCCTCATGTGGTTATCACGGGTCTCTGCAAACTGGTAAAGTAGACCAGTTTTTAGTAATTCTTAGTTCAGCCCATTTTCCCCAGGCACTGAAAGTATATAAATCAACTTTCTCAGGAACATTCTAATTTTAAAGAATACTAGTGAGGATTCTATAATCCCATAGCTCTGGATGAATATTTTAATGCAATACAGAAAGCTTCATTTAAGAAATTCTATATTTAACCAAGTTACATTCATTTCTTCCTGTGAGGCTGAAAATGGGTGTGCAAAAGGGCTTATCATCTTCCTGCCTTGAACATTTTAGTACATAATCAACTCCCTCTCACCTTCCTCTGAGAAGAAAAATCTTAAATTCCTCATATGTCCTACCTTTTTAGATTTTGTGATTTAGGCTATGTGTATTTCCAGAGAAGGCTTGTCAACATTATTCCAAAGCTTTTCATCCTCTAAATCAAACTCAAAAAAAAAAAAAAGCTTAAAAAAAATCGAATTCCACAAACCACCACATTTTAGAAGCTTCTATCAACCAACCAGCAGGTAAGTCCCTAAAACGCTGGACTCACCTCGCCCGCACTGTGGCTGCGTTGCCTTGTTAGGTGTTGCCGATGAACCAGTGCACTCGTGGGTCTACTGCTCTGCAGGGGGAGCCGGGGGTCAATGAAAGTGGTGGTGCGGGAGTTGTGGTCCACAAAGAAAGCCTAGGATACAATACTCTGAGTCAAATACATCAGACAGTCAGGAAAAGACTCACTCTGAGTCATGATCTTAGCTCTATTTTCTCATAATGTTCAATCTTTGGGGAAATTTCTCCCTATCCCCATAGGACAGATCAGACTAGAGAAAACCAAGCTTAGATGAGATCTAGAACGAAGAGAGCAGGAAGGAACATTATGCCTGATTTTAGGAAATACTCTACGAGGTAGTCATCAAAGAGATGATCTGAGACGGAAGCCAGAAGAATGGACATTTGGGCTTCTCTTAACTGATGGTCTTTGAGCTCTTCCTGTCATATATGGCTATCATAAAGTTCTTACCACCTTGAAACTTTTAAACATCATTGACTTCTCTTTTCCTTCTCCTATACAGTACCAAAATCCTTCTCATTTTCTCACTGTAGTCTCCTCTCTTTGTGTCCTCCCAGCCTGAACACCACCCCATTATTCGGGACTTTATTTTACATGTGTTAAGTATTGGTGGTTTCTTAGCTGCTCACATCTCCACCACTGTAGTCATTTAACTGGCCCATTACTATACGAATATTCTTTCTAAACACTTCAATTACATCACCACCTCAATCCAAAGTTTCTCATGGCTATCCATTGTCCACAGAAAAGACATCCCTGCTCGTTGGTCAGTTTTTCCTCACTCTTTAACCATCTGTGTACATGCCTTTCCAGTGTAGTCACCCATTACACACCCATACAAACTCATCACATACCCAATAGAACTTTGGGTATGTCACTTACATTCTCTGAGCTATATATTTCTTATAAAAATATGTCTCTTTAATTCATAATAAACATTTCTCCCCGATAATGTGTTAGGAGGGTGGAAACCATGTCTATCATGATTACTGCAGAATCTCTGGTAACATGAAATAATGAATGAGCATAAACCAATTACTTCAGCATTGCAGTTAGGATGGAACACTATGTAGCAAAGCATTTTTTGGTCTGTTTAATTCTAAAACTATACAAGTGCTATTTTTCATTATCCTTAGGGGCCCAATGTTAGAAGTTTTCAAAGTAAAATTCACTCAAGTTAATAATAAGATAATGAAACCCATTATCTTAAGTACAATTAGAAATTATAAGTTTTCCATGATCAAATAAAGCTAATTAGGTCATCAAAGATGAAAGGGGCTATTAGGAGATCCAGGAGTCTCAGTACCTATAAACCAAGTGTAGAGGCACATGATGTATGCCAAATAACAGGCAAAAAAGAACTGACCTTTCAAACTGATGGAGCTCAGTTAAGGAAGTACCTGAACACCTAGGGATGAAGGTATCTAGGCAAATGCCAGAGGCAGATAGTGTATTTATGCCTATTTAGAAAACTACTTTCCCATTATGGAACAGAATGTTTCATATGGAACTGTATGTACGTCATCAAGAAATGGGGCAGATCCCATAAAGAAAACATTTTTACATATTTATAAAGAAATAACTTTAAGCAATGGATGTACCAGAAAACAAAGCAGAAAAACAGACAGAACAGGAATCTTTCCCAGTATGTTCTCTGACTCTCCAATTTCTGGGTCCAAAAAATGAAGGTTTTGTGTGAGATTTTGTCATCAGCCTCACATCCTGGGTAATGCTTCCTCTTCCCTAACCTCGGGTGAAACATCCTTCTCAGGTCTTGTGAAAGGTACTCTGGCGACAAAACCTGTGTGGACTTGCCTTGACAGGCTCTGGCCCCAAACGTCACATTGGTCCTGTTTGGTTTGTGCTTCTATTACAACTGTCCACTATTTCTGCCACTATTTGAAACATCATAAAATGGCAATTAAATTATTTTGTACCAATGGACATGGCTGATATCTATTTTTAAATAATACATATTAGAACCAACCCCATATCCTCTTTATGTAAATGGAGAGTAACAAGCTTTAATTACTAACACAATCATATAAACCATCTTGATTAAGGGAAAAAATACAAAGAGCATAAAGTAGAATGGCCTATTTACCTAATTTCTTAGAAATGTTTTGAAGGGACGGGTGGCCATTAACGGTACAATGATGCACTTGTCATTATAAAGACAAATGGGTGTCTACAATGTAGGTCAATTGTGATTTGCATGTAATGCCATAGCCTAATGTGATATGAAGAGGCTTGTCTAAAATCTACTCTCGAAAGAACTATACTGCAAAAGCCTTGAGGGCAGTAACTCTATCTTATTCACTCTGTTATCCCCAATGGCTTTTAGGGCTGTGCCTGGAAGAGAGAGGGTGTTCCGATAATAATAAATTGCTAAAAACTTGAATTATCAACCAAAATACACGGAGAAAACTAACAATTAACTAACCAAGTATTAATAAGCATGTTCTTAGGCCAGGCGTGATGGCTCACACCTGTAATTCCAGCGCTTTTGAAGGCTCAGGTGGGTGGATCGCTTGAGTTCAGAAGCTCAAGACCAACCTATGGCAAAATCCTGTCTCTACAAAATATTCAAAAATTATCCAGGCATGCTGTGGCACACAGCTGTAGTCCCAGCTATTTAGGAGGCTGAGGTGAGAGGATCATTTAAGCCTGGGAGGTGGTTGTTGCAGTAAGCCAAGATTGTACCACTGCACTCCAGCCTGGGTAGGTGACAGAGACCCCCATCAAAAAAAAAAAAAGCATGTTCTTTTACACAAATACAGAAATACTTAAAGATTTGGGGGAAAATAAGGGAAGCTAAAGACCTCAAAACCACAAACAGAAGATTTTTAAAATCCCATTGTAAATATGAATAAAGTACCAGGTTAAACATGGTACTTCTGGGAAATCTACTGATGAGGGTCAGGTGATCCTTCCTTCTGTCCTTCATCTATCCTGCTCTTTGAGACACAAATTTAACAGTGGAGCTCCAGTGGCCAGACTGAACCACGGGGATTGTTGAGGAAAAAAGTTAAATTCTGTAAAATATTTGAAGAGATTTAGTCTAAGCCAAGTATGAGTGGCTAATGGCTTGTGACACCACCCTCCAGAGATCCTGAGAATGCCTACCCAAGGAGGCTTGGTTTTACACATTTTAGAGAGACCTAAGGCACCAAAAATACATGCAAGATATATGTTACTTTAGTCTGGAAAGGCGAGGCAACTGGAAGTAGGGGTGGGGGTGGTTCTAGGTTATAGCCAGATTCAAAGATTTTCAGTTTGGCAACTGGTTATTATCGAAAGATCTGGAATCAGTAGGAAGGAATGTCTGGGTTATAATAAGGGTTGTGAAGACCAACGTTTTATTATGCAGATAAGGCCTCCCAGTAGCAGGCTTCAGAGAGAATAGACTGTAAATGTTTCTTATCAGACACAAAGAGTCTGTTCTATCAGTCTTAAGGTCTCTGTGTTGATGTTAATGCTGGTCAGCTGTGAGACATATCCAACCCCTCCCTCTCCGCCCCGACTTCCCATAATTGCCTGTATTAGTTTTTTAGGTTAACTTTGGAATGTCCTTGGCTGAGAGGAGAGATCCATTCAGATGGCTGTGGGGCTTAGAATTTTATTTTTGGTTTACAAGATGAAGGATGGCTGAGCAAAAAGTTGGAAGTTGCTGGAGGCTCTCGCAACATGATGAACTCCCTGGTCAACCCTAGACTGCCTGCCTCTAAACTTCTTTATGTGAAAGAATATAATTTTTTTTTAGATGGAGTCTTGCTCTGTTGCCCAGGCTGGAGTACAGTGGCATGATCTCAGCTCCCTGCAACCTCCACCTCTGAGGTTCAAGCAATTCTCCTGTCTCAGCCTCCCAAGCAGCTGGGATTACAGGTGTAGTGTGCTTCACCACACCTAATTTTTTGTATTTTTAGTAGAGATGGGGTTTCACCACATTGGCCAGGCTAGTATTGAACTCCTGACCTCAGGTGATCTACCCACCTCAGCCTCCCAAAGTGCTGGGATTATAGGCATGAGCCACTGTACCTGGTGAGAATACAATCTTGTATGTTAAAATGCATATGGGTTTTCCACCACAATACAGTCAAATCAAATCCCACTGGAAACAGTGGAGCTTCCGCACTGCAGAGGAAAGACAGTCTCCCTAAAAGTAAAACCAGAAACCACCATTATATATAGGGATTTTCCCTATTTGGTGAATAATGATATATCTATCATTCACCTTTAAAACAATTAGAATTCCCAATGTACATGAAATGTATAGTTGGGAACTTATAAAGCTGGGATTTGAACCCATGTTTCATCTGACCCCAAAGCCCAATGAGCAATACCTTTTCCCTCACCTCTCTTCTTTTCATATATCATCTCCTTTTTTTCATTCTGCTTTCTACCTACCATCTTTTCCTTTTTATGTTCTTCCCATTCCCTCCACACCTTACGTCATACTTTATTTTAGGAAAACATTTCAGTATATATTGAACAAGGCTGACAGTAACAGTCACTCACAGTGCTTGGCCTCACCAGTTTCAACACTGCAAAGTTTCAAGTGGAAAGATTGCTACTGATCCCGACAACATGCTCTACATACTGTGCCCAATTCTCATCACTAATCTGTTGGAAGCATGGCTATGGGTGGGGAATAGGTCCTATTTGTATCCCACAAGGGGCTCTATTTCAGAGTCAAATGGAATGTGTATATTGTTTACACATGCTTTTTAAGTCTGCCAAGTACTTGGGGGAAAGGTCTCGATTAAGACCTCCATCAAAGCCTCCAATACAGTGCTTCTAAGGAGCAAATTGCTTGGCGAGAGTTTTGGCTCTGCTCTGGGCCCACTGTGTGATCTTGGACAGATTTCCTTAGTGCTTTGCTTTATTCACATAAAGGGGATTACTCAGGTCACAGCTGAGTTGTGAAAAATAGATTCTACTTTAAAATGAAGAGGAGAGCATGCAAAGTCCAAACTTGCCATTTCTATTTATGACACACATATCAATTATGTCAGGAAAGTGGATCACTTTCCCACAGGAAATGCTACCTAGTTCAAGCCAGCAATGAAGCTGACCTAGTAAATTTAAGTTACTTTATGTCACAATTTTTGAAT